GATTTGCACAGATAATTAGACTTGTAATATATCCTTGTAATCTATAGATTAATTAATACTATTGTTAACATATCCAATAACTATATCTTCATTTTGCAGTAATGTATTTTACAACTACGGTATTATCAATACCATTTACAGATAACTTCCTATAACGTCAGTATTATTAATATCAATTTACAGATAACTTCCTATAGCTGCGGTATTATTGATATCAATTTACAGATAACTTCCTATAGCTACGGTATTATTAATATCAATTTACAGATAACTTCCTATAACTACGGTAATATCAATATCAATTAACAGATAATTTAACTACGGAATTATCAATATCAGTTTACAGATAACTTCCTATAGCTACGATATTATTAATATCAATTTAGACATAACTTCCTATAGTTACAGTATTGTCAATATCAATTTACAGATAACTTCCTATAGCTACGGCATTATTAATATCAATTTACAGATAATTCATATAGCTACCCTATTAACAATACCCATTTACAGATAACTTTCAATAGCCCTTTCCGATAATTGTGTCACACACAAGAAATCAAAATGGCGGCGTCTGTAGGAGTTTTGATCGTTAAAACCGACACAACAGACTTTGTTTTAGAATTAATGTAAACAACACGTCAATTAAACCCGGTCACTTTAATGGATATTACTTTATTTCTGGCCTAGTCAAGAAACTTGATAATATCAGACCATTTCATTTTGTACAAATGTCCACATTAAGAATAGAAATTCGAAAACAATTTTTTGTTGTTATTATTTATTTTTTTTGGGGGGGGGGGGGGGGGTGTGCTACGCGTGTCCTTTAGATCATAACGTCTTTCATTGAGTCACGTGGCGTGTTTTGGATCCCATACTTGTAGTATGTAACGAGGAGAGATTGTTTGTACGTTAGTCCCGGGACATTTCATACCTCTTCAGTGCAATCTGACTACAAAAAAGTAATCAGAATCACACTACCCAATAGTGAGGGTGCATGGATGGACGTGTCGGTCGGGAACAGTTTGTTAAATGATATCAGAGGTGTTACACGGTGGATTAGTACTGGCTTATTAATAAGGACATCCGGGGTTCGATTCAGATGAAAGTTCCCGAAAATTTGCAGTATGGTTGCAACAGTAACTTCGTGATACCCAGTCTTGTGTCAACGGGGAGAGAACGAAATGGGGTTTAATGCCCGCAAACTACTTCATTTCGGGATTGGCACAATTTTATTTCAATAAATCGCTTGCGCGTAAGTTTATTGAGCAATGGGTGGAAATCAGGGGACACGGAAAAAAGCCCACGAGGTTGGACAGGAGAGCCCACTCCTTGTCATGCACAATTTACCCACTGACACCCCTTATGATATAAAGCGCATGCGTTAAACCATTCTGTCATCCCCACCCACCCCGTACGTCAAGGGTATCTTAACTCAGAATACAGAATATTCATTATATTGCACTGTTCGAGTATAGCGCTGACTCATATCGTGTTTAATCCCGTGGATGGTCGGTATTCTCCAGCCTGGTTTTCCCATTGTCAGTATGGCAGGACAAGACGGGGGACGACAAACCGAGTTACACGAGATGTAAACAGGGTTAGGGCACGTAATTGTTGCCGAGGATTGTGGGCTAGAACTACGATACGGCTTAGGACAAAGTTTTGGGGTAGGGTTAGGTTTGGAGTTAGCGCTAGCCCTGTTTACATCTCGTGCAGGTGTGCACGTGAAATACATCTAGCCCAGTGGTTGTTCTCCAGGTCCTTCGGTTTCCTTCCACTGCTAAAGACCCCTAGACGCTAGCGAATTATTGCGTAAAATTGAATCATATGTTAGTCCCGAAATGACCTAGTTTATGTCGATTTGACGTTACCCTCGCGCCTGCCCAACCTTGTGGTTTTTCTCCGGGTCCTCCGGTTTCCATCCACTGCTAAAGACCCCTAGACGCTAGAGAATTATTGAGTAAATTGAATCATATGTTAGTCCCAAAATGAACTAGTTTATGTCGAGTTGGCGTTACTCCCCGCCCCCTCTCTCTCTCGGTAAATATTTTGTTAATAATTTTTAAATAATTTGTTGTACTAATACTAGAAGCATTATTTAAATAAACTGGAGCAGCGGTGAGATTTTCATACGTAGGTTCTCCTTGTCAAGGATAAGGGACAACGTATCAATGCCTTCCGTGATCAACTCACTAAGCTAGAACAAATAATCTTTAAGTGTAGATCGTAAAGACCAATATTTGAATATTATTTCAACATATTAAATAAACTTTTATATGGTCGTGATAAAATGACAGCCATTTTGCATTTTTCACCACTTAATTCAATATTTGCATTAACTGTAAAGATTAACACAAACAAACCGCTAATAATCCAATATGGCCGATTGACAATTATTACCTTAAAAGGTTATGTAAGTAATAACAAATTTAAAAACGACATGTCCACATAACTTCCTTAATGTACATAATTTTTGTATTTTAAATTTAAGATATTTCCTTAAAGAAAGGCAAATTGTAAAAACAACCCAATTTGATAGCCAATATAATCAAATAACTACTTTAGTGTATATTCATTTAATCTAGGGTACACTTTTCTGAAAATAAGGCGAATAGGTAAAACTGTGTCTTTGTTTAAATCGCGATGCGCCATTCTAGCGCTATAGAATCACTTGTAACTACAATATTGTGAAAGATGAATCTATAATAGGAATAAAAGTTCGAAATCGTTCAATTCCGTTCAGATTTTACAAAGATAAGCGGAATTGAAAATTCATATATCTATGCTGTTTGCTATGCAATAAGCCGGTCGCCATTTTGATGTCCGCGAAAATTTATTGATAGGCCCTTTTTCTAAAAATCTGATTGAATCCAAGCCAGGACATTATCTAGCTTTAGTATCTGGATTTAATTTTCTTAATTATCTGTTAAATAATCAACCTGAGTACATAACAGCGTGGATTAAACCGTGAGAAATTTGTTATTTTAACGAAAAATGCAAATGACGCATCGTGATTTAAAGAAATGCATTAATTAACCATTTATAATTAACAGAAATGAAATGGGGTTTAACGTCCTATAGTTTTCTGTACATCCTGGTTAATAAAGACGTGCATGCTCCAAGCAGCATGCTGTGTGAGACATTTTACCCGGAGAGCGGTATAGAACGTTAAATCATTTTACCCGAAGAGCGGTATAGAACGTTAAATCCTATTTTATTCATTTCATTTCATGTGGTATTAAACGAGTAATGAATCATTTTCCCTACATCATAAAACGAATTTACTTTTTGGGCTAATCTCTGATTTTTCAGCACTCATGTGCATTTATTACAAACATAACACTTATAACAATAACATCCTTATGTAAAGATTTTGATATTGTAGGTCTACAAGTTTAATAAAAAAAAAAAAAACCTGACATTTTTCGCATTTCATAAGATTTTAAGGTTTAGTCGTTACAGCAGCTTAAATGGTTTGCATTGGTTCATGTGCAACACGAACTTGAATAATATATTCTAATATGAAGAATCGTTTTATATGCTCAATCACTTCGTAAGCTAAACCATTTTGGTTTAAACAATATTTTATTCAATACAATTGCATATAATTGTACAGTCTAAATTATACGAAAACAACCAGGCTTAAAATTGCGCCCCAGTCACAAGATTGTCCCTCTCTAACGTCATTTGTTTCATCTGCATGTTCATCCGTAATTGGACTAATTTAATGAAGATAGAAGATACGCTCCATATTATAAGATCACTTTCATATGTTTTTCTAGTCGATAGTACGCCCCTACCCCGCCCCCACACCCCACCCTCTCATTCACCCACCTTTACCCTTGAAGCAAAATACTACATATAATTAGGGTATATAAATTTGATACGTTTTACAGGGTTTATTTAAATTGTTATGGGTCTTGCCAATGTCGGATGTGACGAAAATCGAGTGAACACCATCAAGGAGCACGTTGAAGAGGAAATGAAATTGGGTTTAACGTCCTACTGTTCTACTCCAACTTGGCTAATGAAGACGGGCATTGAAAAGGCGTAGGACACGGATCACAGCTATCGTCAGTGTAATGCGACTGGAGCGGGAGCGGGGGGGGGGGGGTGCAAATAAAAACGTCTAATCCTTCAGATTGGCAGTAGCGTAAATATTATTTGGAAGTTGGAAACGGACAGGTCGCTCCCCGTACATTGCATGGCGTAATATATCCGTCATCATTATCACGGTTGGGGCCAAAAAGTAGACCTATTTTTCTTATTAAAGATACAAAACTCCTCAGATGGTGTTTTGGAGATTTCGAGAAAATATTAACTAAAACTTGTTTAAAAGGCATTTGGTGAAAGCGATATTAAAAACAGACAGCTTTATGGATAACATTCACCAGGTTTATAAACGGTGAGTGCAACCTCATTGAAACGTTGCAGTTAATAAACCTAGTGAATGTAGATAACGGTGAGTGCAACCTCATTGAAACGTTGCAGTTAATAAACCCAGTGAATGTAGATAACGGTGAGTGCAACCTCATTGAAACGTTGCAGTTAATAAACCTAGTGAATGTAGATAACGGTGAGTGCAACCTCATTGAAACGTTGCAGTTAATAAACCTAGTGAATGTAGATAACGATGAGAGTATCCTCATTGAAACGTTGCAGTTAATAAACCCAGTGAATGTAGATAACGATGAGAGTAACCTCATTGAAACGTTGCAGTTAATAAACCCAGTGAATGTAGATAACGATGAGAGTATCCTCATTGAAACGTTGCAGTTAATAAACCCAGTGAATGTTATCCATAAAGTTATCTGCTATTATTAATTAAAAATATTCAATGATTAAATATAATTATAGAATAAAACCAAGTACGAACAATCCAAACCATTAGACAAAATACGGTGTCCTAAGAAAAACGGAAAAGGCAAAATGGGGTAATAAGCAAATGGACTGTTCACCGTGTACAAAATAAATGATTAAATATAAATTATACTTACATAATCACAGCTCCAATCGATATGAATCCAACAAATATCAAAGGTCTAATAAAGCTCCTGGGATATCTCAGAAGGTAGGAAATAGTTCTCAATCATAAGCACATCTTGTGTCGATGATTAAATGGCAGCCAAAGATTGAAAAGTTTCTCTTAACTCGCGTGTTTGAGCAATGAAAACAGTAAACAGCGTAGGTCTTCGATCACAACCTCGCCAAAAGACGCGTTTCATTAGAATGATTCGAAGGGGGAAAGCTTCGCCTTCACGGAAGGAACAAACATCGGTGACATCCGATTGGAATTTGTTTGTTGATACGATGGGTCTTGTTAACATTCACCTGTTTCAGAGCAATAATAACTAAATTTACTTTAGATCGTTACAGTCCCGCGTCAAATAGACACAGACCGTTTCATGGGCTATGAATAAGCTACTTGTTACATGGTAGTTGTAGACGGTTTAAAGCGGCCATTATGTTTGATTGCCAGAAATATTTCGTGTATTTTTCAATCAGCGATGTTTTGATTTGGTATTTATTAAAAACTGTTATTCGGTAATCTCCGGCTGTTTATCAACAAGATGGGCCTAATGATATTTATATTGATTCAGGGAAAGACTAGAGATGTCGATATTTAAGTTGAGTTTAAAGGCACATGTTTTGATCTGATTGTGTAAATTAAATGAAATGGGGTTTAACGTCCTACTTGTCTGGGCTAATAACGACGGACTAACGCTATATGGCAGTGCTTCTCAATCTTTTTTTGCCAGCGGCACACCTTGGCACACATAAAAAAATATCGGCACACGTCAGGCGGCATACAACCGTAGACAGAGACTATTCATAAACACATAGAGTCAAACTAAATAAAGAAAAACACAGTTATGAACTCATCAGTAGACACCAGTGAATAGTCAATTGGGATGACATTGATTGAGAATCACTGCTATATGGTGTAATATGGGCGACAAATCGCCCAGGCAGATGCAACACAGCCTTCTTTTATTGCGAATTCCAACTATCAAGGGTTAGTTTACGCACACGGGGCCCCAGGTTTTCGTCCCATCTGAACGACTAGACACTGTCCAAGCCAGGTCGTTCGTCCTGCACCTCTGACAAGGAGAAACTGCATCGGAAAATCCCGAGGAACTTTCTCGGCCAGCATCGGGAACGAATCCGAGACACCATGGTTAGGAACCGCGACTCCAGAACTAAAAGTATGGTCACATAAAGGCGCTGGGCTGCAGTCTGTACTTAAGGAGGTGGGGTCGCCGTAGCTGATCATTCTGGGCAGTTGCTGCAATAGAAATGCCGACCACAGTCCGAGTCCGAAATCCGTGTCCAAATAGGTCAAATTGGCCAAAATCCGAAATGGCCGCCAGCTTTGGCTGGAAAATGCCAGTTGTTATCCAGTTATCATAATATGAGTTTGGAATCAAAATGTATCTTTTCGGGTTGGCTGAATCGATTTACATACACATTTTGGTTATTAGTTTTACCACGAGTCAATATTGGGAAATAATTTCAAATAGCTTCCATTTTACAAAATGACCACATTTTGTGTCAAAACATACGTTTTGGAGGAGCTGATTCCGTTTTCGACACATTTTCTTATCTTGGTAAATAATTGGTTCCCTTGGTCGAAAAAGGAGGAAATCTCATTAGAGATTAGAGGATTAAGAATACTCGAGTCTGCCTCATCTAGTACGATGACATTCATCAAGCAGCGTAGCAGGCATGACAAAAGGGGCCAGGCTCGGCAAACTGTGGATGCAGCATCATGTGAGTGTCTGATTTCGATCACCAACCTTGAAAATTGAACCAAGATGGCCAAACCCATTGAAGCACACAGCGAATTTATTTCACAAAATGATTCAAATGATGAAACACACATGGATATCGATATGTAAAGAATCATTGGATAATGAACTGCCCATCGACATTCCGAAAAGAACGGAAAGATAACGACAATAATGAGCCGATTAAGATCTCTGGCCTTGATTAAGTTTAATAATGAGCGGAGATAACAATTTCAATAGCAGCGAATTTAGGACAGACTAAAACTTGGTGTATAGTCATGACTAAGATCGACAATGAGCATTGTTTGCTTAGGTTACACAGAGTATTGAACAATTTCATTGCTAGCTGTCTCATAAAAATGTTAGATGTGCAAGTAATTAATGATTGTCGTCTATTTAGGGACATCAGTCTCACTATTGATTTGTTAAATACTATTAGATTAATGTCCAGTCGTCATTTGTCCTGCCTTGGCATGTCCACAAAATAGTTGTTGCGAGTTCTACTGTTTACTATTGTAACAGCGATTACCGATTTTATCTGCTGTAACGGACCGCGTCTACTAATCTTTCCTACAGATTATATAAAAAACAAACGGTCCGCAAAAATGAATTTTGGCACCACGGACCATCTAGACCTCGACACAGGATCCTCCGCTTTAATTTACAACATTGTGCAATATTAGCTGAATGGTAGTGAAATTTGTGACATTTCACATGGTATTTTTCACCAAGAACGAAATCACTTGCCTAATTTCTCAGCTTAGTTGCCCTATTAAAGCCACCAATACCGGTTATTTTTGGAATGACGGTGGACTGTTAATTATCAAGTGGTTCATAACATTTGAAATTAGAGTAAAAACGGAAACGATTGAATGTAAATCAGTACATATACATTCATATTACATTATATATACGTTACGACCCATTTGTGTCAATAGAGACTTTTGACAGGTGGAATTTTCCCCATCCGTATAACGTATCCGTATCGTCACGTGATACGCTGCGTTAATTTAGTTTTAGAGTTTTGGCAGATTTTCGCGCCGTCTACGTATGGGTAGCTGATCTGAGCGTAGTTCTATTACAGCATGATGGCAGTTATCTACCAAGATCAACATCCGCACTAGTCGAGTACGTAGCCTACAAATTCCCGAAGGGAGTGAAGTCGTTCGACAGTCGTTGAGTTATTTAAAGAAAAAATTAATGTCGAATCTTATTAAAAATATACCCCTTTTACAGATTTGCAAGGTCCCACCTCCCTAAATTTAGCACGTAGATCAACAAGCGTGCAGACAGACAGGAAAGATATGAAAATTCCGCGAAAAGCTCATCAAAAGTAATGATTAGATTCCAGTCTTTATCATGGTTAAAATCACACCAAATATACACCTTTGTGTTCTAGGATACTCATAGATTCATAAAAACGCTACGGCACAACATTTCAGCGTCTAAAAGTAGCAAAAAATACGATAAAAAGACGACGATGTTATACGGACCTTTTCCGTATGAAAACTGTTCGATACGTGCTGCCGTATCCGTGTGCCGTATCACGTATGAGAAATACACACGCATTGATGACGTCACACGCAAAATCGTTACGGATACGCAATACGGACCAGGAATGTACGCTTGCCAAAAGTCTCTAATTTCTAGGTCCCAAATATTAGCCATTTAGTTCCTTAAAGATTTTAGTAGAGTGGGGTGGTTTTCATAAAGTAACAGAACCAAATTTGTAGACACTTGCACACGTAAAAGGGAAAGTCGTCAGAAAGGATGGGTGTAAGTTTTTGCCAATATGTGTGAAAAACAAGATATTGTAGGAAGTTGACAATGGAATGAAATGGGATTTAACATCCTACTTTTCTGCTCCAAAAATGCTAATGAAGACGGAAAGGAATATGTTGACAATTTACACTTCAGAAGTGAAAGGCATCAGAAAGAGAGTTGTCTATTGCCTGGTTTTCACATGGGCTACAAATACCACGAATAGTGCCGAATCGAAATTAATCAAAATTCATGGCGAATCGGAATTTGTTTTAAAAATTCGCAGAGAACCGGGAGTAGCTACGAAGCACTTAGGAATATTGTACGAAAGAGTTACCACAATTCGTGGGTAATCGGGTGAAAAATATGTCGAATGTTTTCGATAAATTATGCAAGAGCAAAATCTGCCTATTGCATGTCTTTCTTTAAGCCTTAAATGTTTTTTAAATTACTAATTAGACATTAATTAACTTATCAAGACCATAATCAACTCTTGATGCCATCACTAGCCTGCGATATTTAATGGAGGGAAGGTACAATGTAAAAACGTAAATGCTAGTTTCTGGGATTAAGGGGGCGTGGAAATTTGAAGGGATTTCTCTTGATCCGACCCTTCCCCCTTTTAAATGAATCGCAAATACAAGCGTATCATATTAATCAAAGACAAATCACACGTTAGTCTCGAATGACCTAGTTTGTGTTCAGTAAACGTTAAACCCCATTTATGTCCGTCTTCATTAACCTGGGGGAAGGGGCAGGGGGCGAACGGTTAGCGCGTGAGTGGCATCATAAGGTCTGTCATTGTGTCAACTGGCGTGGTTTCGATTCCCCGGTTGTACGTGACAAGGAGTAGGGTCGCCTGTCCATCCTCATGGGTATTCTCCGGATCCCCCGGTTTCCACCCACTTCTACAGACCTTTACGCACAAGCGAATTATTGAAATAAAATTGAACCATATTTGTTAGTCCCAAAATGAATTAGTTTGTGTCGAGGGGACGTTAACCATCCCTCTCTCTCTCTCTCTCTCTCTCTCTCTCTCTATCTCGATGTACGGAGACTTAGGAACTGAAAACGAATCCACGTTAGTATTTGGTGTAAAAATGACCGATTCTCCCCTTCTAAAGGTCATAATGTTCAAGCTGCATCATACGTTAGCCTCGAATCACCTAATGTATGTTCAGTAGATTTTAAAGTCCATCCCCGTCTCTCTCTCACATTAAAAGTTCGCAAACCAATATTGATGCGACGATTCATTAAATAGCCGTGTCTATAGGGAATGAACTTGTGTTACAAACTAATATTAAAATTAAATATAATTTCGTGATTGCAACAAGTATATACATATTGATTATTGGGTTTCAAATTGTTTTCACGTTTTTCACACTTTTAACAAACTCCTCGACCTAAATCTATATATGTAAGTTTTTAATCTAAGTTTTGTGCCCGGATGCTTGGGAGACCCGACAATGAAGTATAAACATCCCAAGTAAGTGTTAACAAATGTAAAAAAATGAAAATAAATATTATGGATTTCAGTATATAGCAAATTAATATTGTTTTCAATGACGGACAAAATATTAGATACAATATGTATTTAATGATGAACAATTTATATTAGATACATTGTATATTTAATAATGAAAACAATATTATATACGTAATGATGAACAATATATTGCACACATTGTATATTAAATGATAAACAATATATTACACACATTGTATATTAAATGATGAACAATATATTACACACATTGTATATTAAATGATGAACAATATATTACACACATTGTATATTAAATGATGAACAATATATTACACACATTGTATATTAAATGATGAACAATATATTACGCACATTGTATATTAAATGATGAACAATATATTACACACATTGTATATTAAATGATGAACAATATATTACGCACATTGTATATTAAATGATGAACAATATATTACACACATTGTATATTAAATGATGAACAATATATTACATTGTATATTAAATGATGAACAATATATTACATTGTATATTTAACCATGAACAATATATTTAATGATGAACAATATATTACGCACATATTATATTTAAAGGGTCATTATGTAAGATTTAGTTTAAGAGCTGGTGGTTCTCGCTATAATAGTTAAAAAATAGATAATAAAAACAGAATATGGTGCAAATTTCAGTCAAGTTCCTTCAATCTGAAACGAGATGTTAGCGATTCCTTTTTAGACAAGCCTCGGTCATCATTACCACCGTGGTACGATAATAAAAAAAGTCTCGATTGTCCATTTTTACGTTTAATTATCCATCACAAAATGTTTTCGAATCCATTAAATATCGCAGGCTAACTATGGCATCGAAAATTGATTATAGTCTTGTCATGTTAATAAATATCGAATTAATAGTTAATATAACATTTAAGATTTAAAGAAAGACCTGCAATAGGCAGATTTAGCTCTTGCATAATGTATGTTTAATAATGAACAATATATTACATACACATTGTATATATTTAATGGTGAAAAATATTTTTCATATACATGACACATTTGATGATGAACATTATATAACATAATGAACCATAAATTACATACAATGTATATTTAATCATACATAAATAATTGTTCCCGGGTCAAACCGGTTTCTCTGGATTTTTCAATCTGGTCTCCCCTTGTCAGGGGTACAGGACGGTGGGCGTAACAAGGAACAGCGTAGACGAACTCTTGACTGTTGGAATTGTATGTCCGGGCTAAATATCTCACACAGCACACTGTATTATGGAAAATATGCCGGTCTACATGTCCCGGTCCTTCGATTCGACAAGTGTCTGACAAACACAGATGCTAAAACTTACAATGCGAACGCAAAAACATACACCCAACCTTTCTGATGACTTTCCCTTTTACTTGTGCAAATGTCTGTACAAATTTGGTTCTATTACTTTATGATAACCACCCCCACTCTACTAAAATCTAAACACAGCGTTAAACAATAATAATTTCATAAATATCTTAGTGAAATGAAATGAATTAGGGTTTAATGTCCCACTGTTCTACTAATGAAGACGGGCATACGCCATACAGTGTGCTATGAGGGAAATGTTGCCTACTCTTATATCGAATTCCAACTGTCAAGGGATCTTTAGGTGCACGCCAATGTGTACACGGGACCTCGGTTTTTCGCCCTATCCGGACGACTAGACAGCTGCTGTCCTTGTCAGGTCTTCCATCTTGCATCACTGACAAGTGGGGACCACGCCGGAAAGTCTGGATGAACTTTCTCGGCCAATGCAGGGATCGAACATAAATATCTTAGTATTAGGGATGAAAAATTTAGAATCAACCCCACTCAATAACTTTGTATTAGGGGTGATAAATTAGAATTAACTCGACTCAATATCAGTGAAGTCTGTGTCACTACAGGCCCGGGACTATACAACGCAGTAGACGCTTACGGCTGGTCCCCGATCCATTCATTTGATTTGATATTTGTTTATTTGGTGCAATGTCTATTTTCTGTCTTGTCCGCAGGTTTATCTTGTAGATGTTTGTTTTGCGTGCAGCGCGGTCCTCCTGCACTTATTATTAGTATTAGGGATGAAAAATTAAGAATGAACCCCTCTCAATATCTTAGTATTAGGGGCGAAAAATTAAGAATCAACTCCACTCAATATTTTAGTATTCGGATGTAAAATTAAGAATGAACTCCTCTCAATATCTTTGTATTAGGGGTGGAAATTGAACTCCTCTCAATAGCTTTGTATTAGGGGTGAAAAATTAAGAACCCCCACCCTACTAAAATCTTAAGGCAGAGTAAACAATGCTAATTTTATAAATATCTTTGTATTAGGGGTGACAAATTAGAATCAACTCCACTCAACATCTTAGTATTAAGGATGGGAAATTAAGAATGAACTCCACTCAATATCTTTGTATTAGGCGTGAAAAATTAAATGAACTCCTCTCAATTGTTAAACAAAAGAAACAATGACGTTTTAAAATTAACAGAAAAAAAGGTGATTTGGAAACAAAGAGATGACACCCCTCTCAAATGTTAGACAAACGAAACAATGGCGTTTTAAAATTAACAGAAAAAAAGGTGATTTGGAAACAAAGAGATGACAACTGTAATAAATCTGGGGCCAAGGTCTTACGTTAAGTGTTAAGATGGTTGTATTTATCACTTTGTTTTAAACTATTGTGTTTGTTAAATGGATGTATTTGGATTTATCGCGTCTTTTATGTATTAGTTTAATCGTGGGTAAATGTGTGGTTCAACTACTGTAGTGTCTTAGTTGACAGACTGGCCACACCGGAACGTGTCGTTCAACTCATCAACACAGCTTGTCAATAAACCCCAATCCATATACAATTTATACCGCCAGTAATTTCAACTCAAAAGGTCATTACCGAAGAGAGGGTTGTTTTTAACAGCAGCTGTGAGATTTAAGTTGTGATTATTCGGTTTTTCCCTTCTCTCACACTGCAGTCAAAACTAAACATCATTGACACATCAGGCGCACTTCGTACGCAAAGTTAAAATGTCGTCGGGAAAGAGTTCGTCTGTGTATGTCATCTCGGCTATTATAGCAGCTATTGCTCTTGGAGCGGGTTTTGTTCTTGGATATCTACTTAGACCTCATATAGCTTCGGATATCACGGATACGAATCTTCCCCATGATGGCGGGACTATTGTTGATCCCCATGGAAACTATAGTTTCTCCAGTATGGAATCTTGTGGAGAATCGACTAAAGATGATCCAGATATGAACAGGTAGGTTTACTTTTGCTTCCTGTTTGGCGAAAAGACCCACGATAGACTGAGTCATTAATATACTTGATAATCTCATCTCTATCGGTAGTCACGGCTGTACGGTGAGTTTGGCACTGGTTCAATAACCCAGAACGTCTAAGGTTCAAGCCCGGTATCACCGAGAAAGGTCTTCGGGACTTCCTAGTCTGGTTTTTGAGTGGTCCAGGATGTAAGACGTGGCAAGATAAAGCGTCCAGTTTTTCAGATGGGGCGAAAAATCGCGGTCTTGTGTAAACCATTAGTAGTACGTTAAAGATCTCCTGATAATTGACAATCGGCCGAACACTACTTGGCGTATGGTCGTATGGTGCAGAACAGTAAAGTACTAGACCCATTTCACTTTTGTTTCTTTTTATTAAAAGATCCCTGCACAGACTCTTTTCCATCACCACTGTTTTACGATTTCTCCCACTGCTAAAGCTCCTGCCCTCTCTCTCTCTCTCTCTGCTAAAGCCCCCTATCTCCACCCCCTCTCCCTCTGTCTCTCTCTCGTTATAAGAGTACAGAAGACATACTTTTTTCGTGTTAAGTGCAGATTTGAAACCGTGAACAAACTTGGCACCTGTATACACCTGTGTTTAATATTTACCTGTGGAAGTTGATCACTCTCTTGTTGATATTTTATCTTATTTTGAGGCTCACCATTTCTTTCTTCTCACACAAAAAGGCAACAAAAGAGTCATTACGTTAGCTTAGTGGCGTTCCTAAATAAACGGAGAGTGGTATCAGTTCCATGGTGATGATTTAGTTTGGAGCCAAGATTCTCTCGAGAATTTCCAGCCTGTGTTCCCCGTGGTGCAGGGTGGTGGGTCTAAAGGCATCCTGTCATTCCGGCTGTTTTATAAAACGAGGCCTTAAAGATACATTATGTAAGATTTACAAAAAGAGCTGACCATTCATGTTATAATAGCTCAAAAATAGATAATGTAAAATGAAAATATTGAAAATTTCATTCAAATTACTTCAATGTGAGCCAAGTTATCACCGTTTGTAATTTTGACAAGATGTGTGCATTATGGCAACCAGGGAACTGGTATATTCGAGACTTAGCCTCGCTTTCCCATTTTTAAATTAAATTTTTAGATGGCGAACCGTTCTAATCTAGTCAAAATCTCGAGTATCCAATGCCATCGAGAGTTGATTATGGTCTTGTGTTGTTATTATGTCTAATTAATAATTTATATAACATTTAAGACCCAAAGAAAGACCTGCAATAGGCAGATTTAGCTCTTGCATAATGTATGTTTAAGTAAGAGTAAGAGTAGGCCGTAGCACCGCGGCCATGACATAATCTTTGCTCCTTTTCATTATCCCGATTGATGCAGAGAAGCAAGACGTTAAACCCCATTTCATACTGTAACATGGACGGGAAATCTTCCTTTGTTCATTCCGTTGAATAAGCAGATTGTTTTCCTTCTAGTAGATTGGGTGGAGCTTATCCGTGCAATAACTCGACATGTTCAATGTTATTGCACTCTTTTGCTCGTTTACACTAGTTTTAGTAGAAATCATATAGAGAAGTTGGGTGGGTTTTCTGTGCAATAACAACAAGCATGTTAAGCAGGTGTCAATGTTACAAGTCATTGATAGCACGCTTCATTCGTTAACAGGTTTAACATCTCGACCTGCAGTTTCGATGTTTAAACCTGTTAACTCTTGAAAGCCGTGTCATAAATATAACTTATTTTAGTTATTCTGCCCCTTGTCTAATGTTATTTCAATTTGTGTATATTTCAGATATTTAGCTAACTGTCAATCAGATGTCTGTCAAGCCCATTCCTGTTATATCCCTCAACCATCACAATATGTGGTGTATCATGTTGATACTCACAGTATAGTGATAGATGGTAAATTAGATGAACAGGCCTGGAGGGAAGTATCATGGTCAGCACCGTTTGTTGGTACGTAGTTAAAACTATATTATATCTCACTGAAAATTCCAACCTCGTGGGTTTTCTCCGGATCCCCCGGGTTCCCCCACTGCTAAAGACCCCTTAATGACCTAGTTTGTGTCGAGTAGACGTTAAACCCTCTCATTGAAAATCTTGTAAAAATGGGAGCCACATTGGCCCACCGTAATCCACTGGCTGGCGAACCAGGAAAGGTACTATCTAAGTAATCAAGTGAGACGCTGTCTCACGGACCGAGTAAGATGTTGTCTCACTAACCGAGTAAGACTCTGTTTCACTAACCGAGTAAGACGCTGTCTCACTAATCAAGTGAGACGCTGTCTCACTAATCGAGTAAGGCGCTGTATCACTAACCGAGTAAGATGTTGTCTCACTAACCAAGTGAGGCGCGTCCACGACTCCACACTGAGAACGATACTGTTTCACTAATCGAGTAAGACGCTGGCTCACTAACCAGGCGGTACGGGGTTCGATCACCGTGTAGGAGGTCCAGAAGTCCCTCCTCCCAGGATTTTTCAGCGTGTCTTCTCCTTGTCAGTGGTAGGGGACGGAGTACCTGGCAAACTACAGTGTCTAGTCTTTCGGGTGGGACGAAAAACCGATGTCCCGCTTACACTTTGGCTTTTACTTAAAATAAATCTTGACAGTTTGCATTCGTTTAAAAGAAGGCGGAAACGCCATCGTTCAGACACAATTTCTCTCAGAGCAAACACTGCACATGGTATATACGTTAAACCCAATTTCATTTCAATTCGTTTATGTTAAAAATGTTTAACCTTTACGAACAGAAAAAAAAAACGTTTAAAAATGTTAATAGTGTATAATTTATGTAAACAAACTATTGTTAGCCATTGTTAGTTTTATTTGCTTACTTACACAGATACTATTCTCACGTACACTCAAACATATTTTACACCACTGACGAAATATTTTATTCTCTTCTGTATTAACCATCACGTCATTGTTTCATAGGTTAAGTTCAGTGACGTAGCTAGAAGGGTATAGCAGGGTAGCAAGGGGAAGTTACCCCCCACCCCCGCCCAACCACTTTTTTGAAAATTTGTCTCTTTTTTAAGAATGTTTTATGTCTTTATTTCACTTTTCTCTTCAAGTCTTTTTTTTTTCGTAAATCGCACGGAAAACATTTCTGGACTCGTTAACTTATCCAACCTACCCCTCGCGTCTGAACTTAAAGAAAATCCCCACCCACCACAAAAAGAAAATATTATAAATTTTAAATTATACGGAACGTGTCAGTGTGCCCTTTGATGTGCGCGTCCCCCCTAACCCTAGAATATTGCTGCATTCATATTTAAATATACTCTAACGGACTCATCAAACTGCTAATCTACGCCCCGTAGCTGCGTAGTATTTTACTAGACAACTGGCTGATGGTACAATATTTTGTAAAAAGTAAATTGAAGCGGGAGCTGTCTCTCGTTCCTTTTGGAATAAGGTTATGCCCTCTCTAAGAAATGTATTCAAGAACCCTACGCGCAAGCGAATTATTGAAATAAAATTGAACCATATGTTAGTCCCGAAATGACCTAGTTTTGTCGAGTGGACTTTAAACTCTCTCTCCCTCTCTCTCTCAGAATTGTATTCAAGTGTACAGTTAATTAATGGTAATTTAGAAACTCTGTATTTTAGATATCAAGGGTGAAGGAGCACCTACGCCTCGTTATGAGACAAAGATGAAATTACGTTATGATGACGTGAATCTATATTTAGCATTCTATATGGAGGAACCGGATGTGTGGGCAAATATTACGAAACATGATGGTCCAGGTAAGTTAATGTAGGTGCGTGATAAAACGTCATCTGATCTCAGAACTATGACTTCCTTTTAATTCATTTAATTTATGATATGGCTTATAAAATACATGCTTATTTACTCTAAAGCAGGGGTGTCAAACACGTTTCGGTCCAGGGGCCACATGAAATGGAATTGTACATCAACTGGGGCGGAAATATACAAAAATATCAAGACAAAGAAAATTGATTTATTTAACTAAAATCGTTACATATTATAATGCAATACAATACTTTGAAATGGGCCAAATTAGCTATTTTTTTATATTTTACAATGAAATCTTTTATAAACAACCACAAAAACATTGCTAGTTTCTAATAATTATCAGCACGTCAGTTTGTTGAAATTTGTTCCGCGGGCCACATTCAAACCCTTGCCGGGCCGAACCTGGCACGTGTTTGATACCCCTGCTCCTCTAAAGTTATGCCAATCCAACGATTGATAGTAGCCCATGTCTGCCACATACTCCGGTCAAAAGTCAAAACCTAGTAACTCATTTTTTTTTATCAAAATTGAGTTAGGACCAAATTTGTAGTTACTAGGGTCTGTGCTTCCTGTTGTTGTACTAGATAATCCAATCTTTTGATTTTGTAAGCAGTTACACCCATGACACAACCTAGCAACTTCCTTCATTTGCCTAGTATGCCACAGAAAAACCTAATAACTGAATAGTCAAATCAATGGATAAGCTTGGGTTTAAATAATATTCATTCATTACGTTTTCCTTCGTTTTCTCAAAATAAGAAAAATGTGAGTTACTAGGTGTTGCCTTTTGACGGGAGCATATGAATATAATATGTCACCCAGAATAAAACTAATATCTGGTTTTCTTTCTTGTTTAATAGTATATGGTGATAACAGTTTACAGGTAATGTGTGTGTTTTTATAAAAGGGAGAGAGAGAGAAATAGGGTTTAACGTCCATTCGTCACAAACTAGGTCATTTCTGGACTAACATATGATTTAATTTTATTTCAATAATTCGCTTGCGCGTAGGGTTCTTTAGCAGTGGGAGAACACCGGAGGGCCCGGGGAAAACCCACGAGGTTGTCACGTACAACTGGGATTCGAAACCACACCTGTTGATTCAATAACAGTCTTATGATACAGCGCGCACGTGCTAACCATTCGGTCATCCAACCCCCATTTTATAAAAGGACTATTTAAAGTTTTAGAACTATATCTGTCATAAAATACGATTAAATAACTAAAACAAACTTACTAGGTCCACATTGAAACAATAGAAATAATCAAAAACAAACGTCATTCATTAAAACTTCTGATTATTCAAAATGTATTAAAACATCATACATTCATTCATCATTTAATTTTCAGTCGTGGCGAATCCAGCCTCAACTGTTGAGGCAACTGATCTACACATTTTTTTACACTAAAATAAAACGAAACGAAAAATTAAAAATTAGTAAAATAAAATATTTTCAATAAATTAATGTTCATTCTACGACGACATATACCAATTCCGTCTTTGAGTGGCATTTAGGAATTGAAGAGTAACACAATGAACTTATATATGCAATGCAAATGAAATGAAAAGGAGTTTAACGTCCTACTGTTCTGCTCCGAACTGGACTAATGAAGACGGACATACGCCATACAGTATGCTACGAGGGAAATTTTACCCAGACAGCAACACTACAGCCTACTCTTATATCAAATTCCAGCTGCCAGGGGATCTTTTACGTGCACACCAATGTGTACACGGGACCTCGGTTTGTATGGAATGCCAATTGCTGATTAACATGCAACCTTTCAATTTTCTAAAGACACGAGTACCATCGTCGAAACACTGCATATTTATAAACCATTAATTGTTATTCCACTTATAAGTTTTTGTGTGTTATATCAATTCTACAACCATATTTACAAACACCCTTTATTTGTCTTTGTGTGATATTCTACATCGTCCACGAATCACATACGATCATGGAATGGAATTCATTTGTGCTTTCCCGTCTCTATAGTCCAGTCGGAGCAGAACAGTCGGACGTTAAAACCCATTTCATTTCATTTTATTTTCATTTGTGCTTGAAACATGTTGTATAGTCACGCCATATGTACTATACAGTATTGATTATTTTCGATATAAGGGGTCATTGTGTTGTGGTTTTTTTTAAGTTTTATGTTAATTTATTGAAAGACGTTATTCGTAGGGCTGGGTTAGGTTTACGGTAATCGTAATAATGATTAAAACGTGATTAAGTTTGTGTTTTAAAGTTTTATGTTAATTTATTTATGAAAGACGTTATTCGTAGGACTGGGTTAGGTTCACGGTAATCGTAATAATGACTAAAGTTTAGGGTTAAGGGCTAGGATAATCCTATATAATAAATACTGCATCTACCAGTTATGGGGATAAGGTAAGTGCTCATAAATACAGAATTTACGAAGTCATTTATATTCAAAAACACAGTATTTACTAAGAGGTCATTTATATTCATAAATACAGTATTTACGAGGTCATTTATATTCAAAAACCCAGCATTCACGAGGTCATTTATATTCATAAATACAGTATTTTACGAGGTCATTTATGTTCAAAAACCCAGTATTTACGAGGTCATTTATATTCAACAATACAGTATTTGCGAGGTCATTTATATTGAAAAACACAGTATTTACGAGGTCATTTATATTCAAAAACACAGTATTTACGAGGTAAGTTTTATTCGTAATCACTGGTTATAAATAACGCTGTCGTTTATTTGTTTTTTCCTTCAGATTCTGATTGACACAAAACAGAATAATCACAAGTAAGTATAATACCTGCTTATATCACAGGGGCCCAATAATCTACTGTAGAGTGGTTTTATCTAATATAAAGATACCCAGTAATCTACTGTTGTGTGGTTTGATTTAATATAAAGATTAGAGCCCCAAATCTACGCAACTAAATGACAGATATTATGATCTAAAGTACAACATCAGACCACTCGGTCATCCAACCCACTTCAGAGAAATACATCTTCAAAGATACTACAACACGAAGCTCCAGTTTAATTATAGCATAGTATAGGAGTTATTTGATTCGTTTAACACGCTTGTTAATTATTTCATTGTATATGAGTTATTTGATTCGTGTATACGCTTGTAAGAAAAAAAAAGTTTTATTGTATCGGTTGTTTTTTTTTCTCTCTCTCACAGATATAAAGAAATAGTTATGAATGCTTTAGGAACAGTCTCTGATATCATGATGACAAAGGTAATAAAATGTTTTCAGTAGCAGGCCGTTACAGCTCTGGTTAAGTCAACATAGGACGAAGAATCAAATGTTTAAGATTTAATCTTTAGACAGAGAAATTTTATTAACAAAATATGTCCTATTATTATGAAGTTGAGTACAATCTGATTAAAATACAGATCTATATTTCGTTTCGTTTTTTTTTACACTTTCCATGGCCTTTACTACTTGAAGACCTGACCAGTTGTTTTAGAAGGTCGCGTCAGTGGTCATACAAGTGGCTTTTGACCCTATGACGCCAGGCATTTGATTAACCAATCAGCATTGGTGTTTCTAGTGGATTACCCACGCCAAAAGCTCGTCGTAACAGGCCGTTTCATTGGCTAATCCCTCACATGTCAGAACACGTTAATGATAACAACTTTTCCAGATTGCAGTGTAGTAAAGACAAATAAAGCGAAATTTTGAACTATAAAAATGGAAACGAAATAGAAGCTGTAGAGTAAAATTTATGATAAAGTTCAGTAAAATTCAATATATATTTTATAAAAGTTTGATGAAATTTAGAACATTATGCATCCAATATAGCATGAAGAAACATGAGGCAATCGCTAAACCTTAACCCAGATACTGTATTTCTTTTCAGCCTTATATTGATGATGGAGAACAGCAGATTATTTGGGAGAGTGATGTCAAAAGGTCAATCTATATAGATGGATCTATAAATGACCCAAACAAACCAAGTAATATAAAATTAGTCTTTCTGGTTTCCTATGTTCTTTGGTGAAAATCCTTTGTTTAGTATTGTTTTAACGTGGTTTGTTAATCCCGAAATGGGATTTTTCCATTGACATAATGATTGTCCAGAATTGGGCTACATTCTAGTGTCATATTGAAAATCCCTAAACTCGGCCACGTTTTAGCGACATAGTAAAATGGAACTACATTCTAGCGAGATTATGATTATCCGAAAAGGGGGCTACTATCTACTGGGCTTTTTTTTCCAGTGACATAATGCATATCCCGAAATCGAGCTACATTATCCGCAAAAACGGGGCTACTAATCTAGCCACATAACGAATATTTCGAAAGGAGGCTACATCGTAGCTACATAATAATTATTACGAACTGAAACTTTCAGCCATTGCATATGACATGATAATGTCATCAGATATTCATGTCGAGAATTCCTATATTACCGTGAACAGGAAGAATATAATGACATCCAGTAAAATATAGCGTTCATAAATAATAATCATTTAGAGGCATTTAGTAACTGGGTAGAGCAATAAACTATAACACATACTTATGGAAGAACAATTACTGATTTATTTAGACAACGTTTCGAAGAGTATTCTCTCGAGGTTTTACGCAAGTACAGTAATAAATAATTTTTCAATACTTTTAAAATAATAACAAGTTTTTCTTCCTATTACCAGGTACGTTTTGGACAGTAGAAATGGCGATACCGTTCAAATCGTTATTTTTTGGTGTAAAACATAAACACTCGGTACCTTCTGATCGAGACACATGGCGAGCCAACTTTGTCAGGTAATATGACTTTCTTTACAATTCTTGTTTTTAGTCCGTTCCTTGTATAATGATAAAATGTAGTCTCTGACGTCCAGGGATATGCTTGCACGTAACCCCAACGTCAGATTCCCGAACCATGGTGTGGCGGATTAGTGTATATGTCGCTGAATTTTCGAGCCTGATTCACGTAGCACACTGCATGACGTATACTCGCCCCCATTTGACCGGACGTTTAAGCCCATTTCATTTCATTTCCTTCAGATTCCAAATATGAGTCTTTTGGCGCTCTACCACTCAAGCCTTTGAACTTAACATAGCATTTGAATTGGGTAAAAAATGAAATTATCGATTTGATTGTTTTCTTAGCATTTGAATTGGTTAAAAAAATGAAATTATTGATCTGATTGCTTTCTTTGTGTTGATTTGTTTGTGTGAGACGACAATCTGTCTTCGTCTAACCTTTTACCTCCGTAAATACAGCTAACGTTGAGTCGCAACAGTTAATTTTTTAAGCCAAACATGAAACTATATTTAGTGAAAAAAGAGAGTTCCGAACGAGGGGGGGGGGGGCAGCAGAGAGACACGTTGGTTGCTGGCTTTCTATTACGTCCAATGGAAAGGGCACCAAAGGCGTCCATTGGGGGGGGGGCGATTCTTTCCCCAATGGGCACCATTGGGCGCGCCGATTTTTACCATTAGAGGCAGCAGTCCCTCTTGACCCCCACCCTCTAGTTCGAATCCCTGCGTGGGTATCGAAGAACCTTGGGAATTTTCAAACAAGGTCCCCGTGTGTCATCGTGCTGCCTGCGGGGTTTAAAGAGAAATTGTTGCCTATTCGTTTGGGTGGGACGAACATCCTGACCCCCAACCTTGTACATATTGCAGTGTACGCAAAGAACCCTTGGCAGTTGGAATTCGATGAAAAGCTGGCGGAAACGCTACTGTTCGGGCAAAATTTCCCATCCGAACGAACAAACAATGTTCCTTGCCAGGCCGTTTATAATGCACCACTCATTAGTGTAAAACGCAGAGGAACCTTGTCGCCGCCAACAACAGATTGAACGCGTTAGTGGTAGTTGTATTTTTTAAATATGTAATAGGGATCAGGTTTAAGACAACGGCCCAAAACCAGCGTATTCCAGACTCGAATCCGACGTCGTCCAAGAAGAAGGATTAAACATTGTTATTAAATTAAAAAATTAAAAACACTTTTACTAGATTTAATTTTGTAATAAGTTATTGTGTATTTCTAGGGTTGAATACGAAGTCATCACAAATAATGGACGATACGAAAAGGTAAGTGTACGTCAATCCCCATCTAAAATCAAAGAATTAATATATGGAACAAATACACTAGGTACAATTTTATGGATACACAATTACTGAGTTTAATACTAAGCGACATTTCGACGAGGATACCCTTGTCTTTATCAAGCAAATGGTTTCGATTTCCCGGTTGTACGTGAAAACGAGTAGGGTCGCCTGTCCGACCTCGTGGGTTTTCTCTAGGTCCCCCGGTTTCCTCCTACTGGTAAAGACTTCTACGCGCGAGCTAAATTAGTGAAATGAAATTGAACTATAGGTTAGTCCCGAAATGACATAGTTTGTGTCGAGTGTTTGTTAAATTGTGTCTTATAAATGTGCTTCTATATATTTACCAGAAAGCAGGAGCCGGCACAGATTTATGGCAATGGTATGCTAATGGTGTTATCAACAGTCATATACCTGATATGTATGTTATTATGTTATTAGGCTTTCTTTATTATACCGCGCCGAACAACGTTGGGTGGGAATCGTGGGGGGGGGGCTTTCTTTATTATACCACGCAAAACAACGCATCCAGGGTGATATCGTAGACAAACAATGTTGGGGAGAGGCTTTCTTTATTATACCACGCCGAGGGATGTTGAAATGGGACCCGTCTTTGTCTTGTATGGTTCTGTTTCGATTTAAGTATATATTATAAATTGGCCAAGAAACCTTTATTAAACATATCAACCTATTATAGTAGTCGTGCCTTAAGCTAATTAGAAAGTTCTCCGATTTAATAACTGTGATATTTCCATGGCAACAAATTTTACATTCATTTTGAATTTTTAATCTATTAATTTTGTATTTAGTGTCACATTCATATTAATAAGACTCTACTTTTGTTTTCGCGAACAGATGGGGATTGATACAGTTCAGAAAGCTTCCGGCCAACAGTACTGAATTCCAGATATCCAAATATTGGGTGGTATCAAATGCTCTATCTGAAATCTTCAGAGCAGAAAGGGTAAGTGCAGTTTGCGACTTGAAAGGTCTGTTTTATTTTCGACAGACAAAATATTGTATTAAGACGAACATGGGCCATAATAAAACCTGTACCCTTTTCAATACCAAACCAATTATAAGACTCACTGTTAGGATATTATGTGGTAATTTTCTTGAAAACACGATTTGAAATAATACGACTACTCCACGGTGGCTCAGTGAGTACGACGTTAACTCGCTAACCTGGAGGTCCCGTGTTTGATCCCTGCGTTGCCCGAGAAAGTTCATCGGGATTTTTCCGGCATGGATTCCACATGTCAGTGGTGTATGACGGAGGGCCTGGCAAGATAGGATGAACACCCGAGGTCGCATGTACACATAGGCGTGCACGTAAAAGAACCGTTGGCGGTTGGAATTCGATATAAGAGTAGGCCATAGCGCAGCTGTCCGGGCAAAATTCCCCTCATAGTAGTATATTCCCGTCTTCATTAGCCCAGTCGGAGTAGAACAGTAGGACGTTAAACCTCGTTACTTGTAATATAAGTAGGTCTACATTTGTTATTTTGTATTAGTTGTTATTTTGTATCAATTGTTATTTTGTATCAATTGTTATTTTATATCGTTTGGTTATTTTGTATCGATTGTTGTTTTGTATCGGTTGTTATTTTGTATCGGTTGTTATTTTGTATCAATTGTTGCTTTGTATCGGTTGTTATTTTGTATCCGGTACGTAAAAATTATCTCGGCATATCTGAGATTATTTACTGTTCTTATTTTGGCTTGGCTTTCTGGCTTCAATACTAAATAAAAAATACCTTTTAGCTGGCTCCTGACTTTAATAAACACTTTGTGTTCTTTTTTTTATTCAGGCTTATAAAGCAGTAACTGGCCGTTATACAGACCAACTAGATCTATTACATATCCCACCATACGTATTGTCTAAACAGTGCATTCAAAAAATAGACATCAAATTGGATTGGTCTGGATTTTTAGTCACAGTGACACCTGTTGACAGAACATTAAAACAAGGGCACATAAGAACGGATAGATTTACCTGGTATGGTGACGATAAAGATGAAGTATTTTAAATACATAAGGGGTGGTCAGCTTTTATTTAAATTAGAAATTTGGCGGTTCTTAAAGAAGCAGTCCCAGAATATATTTAAATTAGAAAATTGATGGCTCTTAAAGGGTCAGTCCCCAATTATTTTAAATTAGTAAATTAATGAATTAAAAACACTTATATGGATATACTACTTCTGAATTTATTAACATGCTACGTTTCAATACACATACAGATATCGTTATCAAGCAAATAATGATATATAACAAAAATGTGGTGCAATATATAGTTAACAAATTGGAAACCATAAGTAATAATATGGATAAACAATTACAAAGGGATTAACCTTAGATATTTGTACGAGACGAGACCAGGCTTATTTCGACGGCGCACCACAGGAAATGGAGTTGAGCTGATTCTAACACGTGGCTAGGTAATCTGGATAAATGACGTCAGATATAGAAATATATATATAAATATTTATATATTTCTAAGATGACAGACTTGGTCCCACGTCAAGACACGTACTCGCCTCCACTTCACTCCTTTCTGACTGCAGTCAGATTAGAGCCCTGACGTTAATCCAATCCAGTGACTGAACTATTCCTTGGGTCCAGTATTATTCACTATAACATATCTGGGACAGCTTCTTTAAGTCAGTTAAACGATTATGGGTGTATAAGTTGGATGCCATCATTCAAGAAAAGACAATTTACAATTATAGATGTGCTTCTCCTGATTTGTAAATATGTAAATAGAACAGATTAAATTATTTATTTATCTTTAATTTGGAACCCTCTGATATTATATGTAATTATTGTATTAAAAATAAAAGTAGAAAAACCCAAGATGGAACAAATCAAACCTTATGCTTCTTTCTGTTTTCTTCTTTTCGGTATCTGGAAATGTGATATAGGCATACCCCGTCCCGTGTTCGATACCCATGATTATTTACAGATACATAGGGCTATGAGTTGTTCTTGGGCTGTCCTCTGAATTAGTAGTTGAGCCGGTGTGAACCGGAAGTAGTACACCTCCGAAACTAACCGGAAGTAGTATATCTCTGAAACAAACCGGAAGTGGTAGTGCAACGCCTCTAGGGCAACACCAGGGTTTGGACCCAGTCTATCACACTGAGCCACCAATTGGTATTTAGGGACTATTATTTGATTGCTCCTTAAGGGTTGATGACAATTACAGTCCAAATCAAGGTGGAGTGTTGGATGGCTGAATGGTTAGCACGTTCGCGCTGTATCATAAGGCCTGTCATTGAGTCAACTGGCGTGGTTTCGAATCCCCGGTTGTACGTGACAAGGAGTAGGGTCGCCTGCCCCACCTCGTTGGTTTTCTCCAGGTCCTCCGGTTTCCTCCCACTGCTAAAGACCCCTATGCGCAAGCGAATTATTGAAATAAAATTAAACCATATGAGTCCCGAAATGACCTAGTTTGTGTCGAGTGAACGTTAAACCCCACCCGTCTCTCTCTCTCTCTCTCTCTCTCTCCAAATCAAGGTCTATAAAAATAGTCAATCGTATCAGTACAAAAGTCGGTTGACTCAACCAGGGGAACGTAATAAAGTAAAGTAGTAGCCGATGTGGAGCCACGGTAGCTAAGTGGGTAAGACGCCGAGAAAGTTCATCGGGAGTTTTGGACGTGGTTTCCCCTTGTCAGTGGTGCAGGAAGGAGGTATTGCCAAGGACAGCTGTCCCATGTAATAATAATAATAATAATAATGAAGTTTTATATAGCGTCTTCTCCATGTTGACACATGCTCAAAACGCTTTTTGTAATGGCTCTACTGGTAAAACTGTTGAAACAGGAAAGTCTTTAGTGCGGATTTAAATTGATTAAAAGTTTGTTGATTCTTGATCTGTTGTGGAAGTTCGTTCCATAATCTAGGACCAGCTGAACTGAAAGACCTATACCCATATGACTTCAAATTATATCTTGGAACAACTAGTGACTGTTTATTTTGAGAGCGAAGTGATCTAATAGGGTTGTAGTCATATAAGAGTTCAGATAAGTATTGAGGAGCTGCATTATTGCGACATTTATACACTAATGTTAGTATTTTGTATTTGACTCGCGCCTCAGCAGGTAACCAATGTAAAGAAGCCAGCACATTCTGGATGTGATCAAACTTATGTGTCCTTGTTACTATTCGGGCTGCAGTATTAAGAACCTTTTGGATCTTGGCTAGAAATGCTTGTGGGATTCCATAGAGTAAACTATTACAATAATCAATCCTTGATAAAATAAGTGATCTCACAAGTAGTTTACAAGCGTCAGCAGTGAGATAGTTTCTGATGTTGCATATACAGCGTAGATGATAGTAGCATGTACGGCATACCATATCAACCTGAGCGTCCATTGTCAGAGAAGGATCAAATATCTCTCCAAGGTTTCGAACATTTTTGGAGAAATTTATTTCTGAATTACCAATGGTGATTTTAAGATCAGGTAGTAACTTGAGTTGTTGTGATGAACCTACTAAAAGAGCCTCTGTTTTATCGTCGTTCAATTTTAGTTTGTTCGCTTTCATCCACTGTTTAACTGCCAGCGAACAGTCAGTAGTTTTTTGTAAGGCATTTCTGATTAGCATAGGACTAGACACACCAATGAGTTGAGTATCATCGGCGTAAGAGTAGTGCCTCTGATCATAGCCATCGATCACAGACCCTAAAGCGGTTGTATAAAGAACAAAGAAAATGGGTCCTAAACACTGCATACATAAGCGTGCACGTAAAAGATCCCTTGGCAGTTGGAATGCAATATAAGAGTAGTGCCGCTGTTCGGGCAAATTTTCCCTTATAGCACACTATATGGCATATGCCCGTCTTCATTAGCCTAGTCGGAGCAGGACAGTAGGACGTTAAACCCCATTTTATTTCATTTCATTTCAGTAGCCGAAGTTTATAAAACGACCCCGTAAAACACAGTTCCATGTTTAGAATTTATTAATTTATTATAACTAAACTGGGACTTCCTGCTCGTAATCGCATTTTAAAATCGCGATTTTTCTTCGTAATGCTCAGCCGCACATCAAGAATGGAACACTATGCTTCTTCGTAATTCGACAAATTTAAATATACACAACCTAGACACCAGTTCAGCTCTGAACGTAAGACCCCGTAAACTCGACCTGTACGTTCAGGAACGCGTCTTTCGACTCTTTATTTACAGTTTTAAACTCCCCTGTAAATTTTACTGGGTAATTTTGTATCGCTAAAGGGTCGCGTGCCAATCGCTGTGAACGCATGTACAATGTAAAAAGCATTTCAGTGAAAACATAAGACTCTGCTATAGATAGTAAGTGTTACATAACAACACGCTTGTAAAAACAGGTACCCTCCTACCAAATACCTTGAGTGACTTATCATTACCAGTCAATGTCATCTACCCCTTTTGAAACAGGGAGCCACGGTGGTGGGTAAGACGCTGGCTCGCTAGTATGGAGGTCGCGTCTTCGATCCCTGCAGTGGCCGACAAATTCATCGGGATTTTCCGACGTAGTTCCCCTTCGTCAGCGGTGCAGAAAGGAGGGTCTGACAAGGTCAGTTGTTTAGTCGTTCGGATGGGACAAAAAACCGAGGTCCAGTGTACACATTGGCGTGCACGTTAAAGATCCCTTGGCAGTTGGAATTCGATATAAGAGTAGGCCATAGTGCCGCTGCCCGGGCAAAATTTATCTCATAGCACACTGTATGGCTTATGCCCGTCTTCATTAGCCCAGTCGGAGCAGAACAGTAGAACGTTAGACCGCATTTCATTTCATTTCATTTTGAAACAACTTCATCTTCGCCATGACTATCTACTACATTTAGTCATCTAGGTAAACCTGGATAGTCGAGACTAAAACACGGCACACCATTAATTTTCCCATTGACTAGTTTCTTTCACCAATTACTCGTTGGGTTGAACGATGTCTACCCCAGACGAACCATCATGTGGCACCATGGAAATCTTGATATAAACAAACTGGAAGTAGCAAACCAATAAGCATGTAAATACGTCATACAATGAAGGGACCATCCCGATTTTAACAGAGTTTCAGAAATAAAAGTCTGTGTTCGTATGAAATTGAAGCGCCAAAATATAGAGTGGCGTATTAACCCTGTCTCTAAACGTCAGATCAAAATATTAAGTCGTTTGGACGTGAGCGTCAAAACTGCTTATCCGGACACCGAACCTTTTTAAGATTTCGGGTCAATTTTGTCCTTGGGTGACTCGATTCCCGTTCCTTTAGAGGTCTATACATTGAACGACCCACATGCTGTACTTGATAACAAAAGGTAAATTTCACCTACACAATATTTTTATAAAATAAAAGTCTGGTTTTATCCAGACACCGTATAATACAGCTTAGAACATCGGTCTCCATTTTCAGATGAAGACTGAAAACTTTAAGTTGTTTGAAAACGTATCACGTATATTGAGTTAGTTGCTCGGCCCTAAGGTAGAGGATTTTAAGGGCTTTTAACACAAAATTAAGCAGTTTTAGTCTGCAAAATATAATCGAGATTGGCAGTAGCGTTTTATCATTGAGGCGCTGGAGGCGCCAGCCTCCTCGCGAAAAAAATCAAAGAAGTTGAAAAAATAAAACGGGATAAAAATGCTAAAACCGATGAGAAAAATGAAATGTACCCTAGTTAGGGAGGGCCCTAAAGGCAGACAAAAGGGCCCCACGTTTGAAAAAAGGGCCCCTCGTCTGACAAAAGGGCCCCCCTGACCATGGGAAAGGGCCCTTAGCCTGAGTCAACGGGATTCCCGAATATTGGAGTTTCGTAAATTGTAAGGTGCTTGGGATTCGTTTACAAAGTGTATAGTATTAGTAAAATACACGGGACAGATTCCATGGATTATTTTATGTAACTGATTCAAACGTCTAATCTTTCTTCTTTCACGTAATTTTGACCATGCAGTTTCAAAATATAAAGATTGTCTGGAGGTGTAAACTGTATTTCCTGTAACAACGCAAGCTGCTTTCATCTGAAAAAATTTATAATTTATCTGAATTATAACTACTACAGTTATCCCAAACTCCACAACAGTATTCAATTATAGGCAAAATAAAACATTTATAGAGTTTATTAAGTGAATCCTGAGAAATTAAAAAAATCTGAAGACCCCCCCCCCCCCCCCTGGGTGTTTATGTACCGACGTATCTAATATATACGTGTTATCATATTTAATATTAAGCGGATAACTAATTTTTTGACAACTGAAGATCATTAGTTCTGTCTTTCCTGGATTAAAAGTCAGTAACCATTATTAAGACCATTGTAATAATTTGGATAAATTAAAGGGACAATCCCGATAAGAACAGAGTCTCAAAAATTAAAGTCTGAGTATTTGTGAAATTTATGGACCAAAATATAAAAGCATGGTGTATTTACATTGTCTGAAAATTTCAGCTGAAAATATTTAGTCGTTTGGACGTGAACGTCAACACTGCTTATCCGGACACGTAACCCTTTTAAGATTTCGGGTCATCTTTTTCATTGGGTGACCTGATAATCGTTTTACGTTTCTTGAGAGGTCTATACAGTGAATGACCCATGTACTTATTTGATAACAAAAGATAGATTTCACCTACATATTATTTTTATAGAAAAAAGTCTGGTTTTATCCAGATACTGTATAATACAAAGGTCTCCATTTCCAGGTGCAGACTGTCAGGTTTAAGTTATTTACAAGCGTATCACAAATATCGGGTTAGTTGATCGGCCTTAGATAATGGGTTTTAAATGATTTTAACACAAAATTAAGCAGTTTTATTCCCCAAAAGGTTATCGGGATTGGCCCTTTAAAGTTTAATTCAGATTCAATCTTTTCAAAACATTTTGAAGAAGAAGACAAAGACG